AGTACGGAGAGGAAGAAAGACACAAGGGAGAGGGAAAAGGCTCACACAAGGGATAGGAAAAATGCACAATGACAGAAGAAAGAGGGGCATGCGTTCCCATAACCCATGAAGTTTCCATGTCTGTGCGACGCCTCCCGTGTTGGGACTTTCGCACAATGGTGCTTCCAGCTCGTGAAATTCACCCAGAAAAGATGTGTTTGCGAGAGAATATGTTGTTGTCTCCAACAGGAGTACAGGGAGAAGGAGAGACACAGAGGGCAAGGAAAAGGCACAATAACAGAAGAAAAGTGGGGCATGTGTTCCCATAGCCCATTTTTTGTGGGTATGTCTTTGGTGTTGGACCTTGCCGAAGAGTTCCTCCATCTTGTGAAAAACATGTGTAGCAAAAAAAAGGTTTGCGGAGAACACACTTAAATACCTCCTGCTTATTTTCGCAGGGGTTTCAACGAGGATGCCCTCATCACCTTTGGTTGGGGTCTCACTGTGACTGTCACACTCGGTGTCGAGTTCATGTGACCTACAAATGGTCACATTTCCGACTTTCTCCTCAGCGCAAAGAGGCAATAGTGGGGGGCATCATGCAATCGATAACAATGGAAATGCCAGTGGAGTGGGACTCCCTGGAATCCTCCTCCTGCTTCTCCTTCTTTGTCTGGTTCTCCTTTTTCTTCTGCTTCTGCTGCTGCTGCGGCTCCTCCCACACCATGTTCTCCTTTTTCATGTCAAATTTCAAATTTGTCATCCTCCGTAGTTTGTTTTTTCGTACTGCTGCTGCTTCTGATACTTCTTTCATGTTGTTGCAATAAAGTCCTCCATGCTTCTACTGTCTTCCCCCGAACATAACACACCGTTATAGTGAATGTATACAAGCTATATTTCCGGTCAGGTACAGCCAACACGAGGGTTCGTTGTGTTCCCGGTAGTCATCCCGACCTGTGCGGTGATATGTTGAGATCTGTTTCTTTGATGGGCAGTCATGTAGCCCTTTGCAGGTCACGATTGCCATCACTGTAATCATATCATCATGTGATCAATGTGAGGTCAACGTGAAATGCCTTTGCTGTGAACCAGTGGAGGTTGTGGACAGCTGCATGGCATCGTCCTTATGGACGAATGTAAAAACATGCGAAATTTATCACGGCCGTAGTTGCCATGATGATCAAGCGCACTGCAGCGACTCGGCGCTCCTCAAACTTGGTGAGGATGACAGCTATGACAATGCCTAAGGCAACATATAATGTGCGTCATTGCCTGTTGTCACTGCATGTGATCTGAGGTGCCATGTGGTGGATTTCTAGCAGTGTTGTAACCTAGGTACCCCTGGTGGTGGAATATAACCCCCCCAACCGCAGCACACGATGTCTCAGCAAAGGTTTCTACCCTGGGTTGGATGGAGGAGCTCTGTGGTTCCTTATCCCAGGAAACATACGTAACAACACTAATTTCTTGGGAAAACGTGTCTGGGGAGTAGTAGGAAATTTGAAAATTTCTACCCCTGATCACCACAGTTTCGATCTGGGGTCTTAAACCCCAGTCCAGGTTCTGCATCCTGGGCCCGGTGTCCAGTCAGGGTCCCCACCTCTGCCCAGTGGTCCCTTATTCTCACACCCACCCCCAGCCTGGAGTCCCGTAATTCCTGCTGGTTCGCGGTGTCTGATGTGCAGAGTGGGGAGAGCGCAGCTCCAAGCCCAGGGACAACTTTTGTGCTTTCCCCCTTGGTTTGACTTTGACCCACGAGATATGCGGCGAGGGTCCTAGTGTGCGGATGAGAACCCTGGCTAGGGGAAAAACAGTGGAAGGGACAAGGACATAATGCACCAGTTAGTGTGGAAGAAGAATGAGACGGTTAACACTGCAGTATGGAAGACGAATATGTATGAACAGAGGAGAAGAAAATAGAATAATTTTCAGATGTCGTAATGACAATGGTGGCAACCTGCCATGTGTCATGTTGCAGCACATAATGCACATAATTTTCTGGTTGAACCTGGGCATCGCCGGCGAAATAGGAAGGGGACAATGGCATACAAAGATGAGCATGTGAAAGATGAAGGAAAAGGAAGGGGAGTAGAATTTGATATTGCTCATGCTTATTGTTGGGATGCCAAAGGCAATGTCGATAATGCTGGCAACCTGAGGTTTGCCACACGTGCTGCAAGGGGCGGAATTGGAAAGAGACAACGACACAACAAAGTGAGCATGTGAAAAGTGGAGGAATAGGAGGGGACGATAAGGAGGAAGAGGACGATAGTTTGATGTTGCTCACGCTGAATGTGGGATCCCAAGGGCAACGATGATAATGATGGCAGCCTGACGTTTGCTACACGTGTGTTGCACCGTGCCATTCTGACATGCTACGTGGCAATGTCCCTGCGCACTCCGCCGCACCAGACACCACGAACGAGCAGGATTGTGAAACAGTGGGAAGGGACTAGGATCTGACTGCACGAGTGTGACATAATTTGTAATTTGCAATCCAGATGGCTAATTGTAATGGGTGGAACACCAGCCAAAGAAACGCCAGGTTATGGAAGAAAGAAGAAGAGGAAGAAGAAGAAGAAGAAGACGGAAATGCTTTGTTTCGTGTTTGTTTAGACAATGGTTGTGAAGTACTTACTCATATATCTAGTAGAATTTGAAAAAACTATATAAGAATCTTACCAGGAGATAGAGTGAAAGTGGAACTTAGTCCTTATGATCTTACAAAAGGAAGAATATCATATGCGAGGAATGAGCCCTCGCGGGGCCCTTATCAGACATGCAAGTGTTCTGGGCTGCGGCCCCCAGCAACCCCGTGCCCGTCCTAAATGAAGGCGGGCCTGCATATCCACGTGAGACCTACTTTCAACATTTTTCATATGTGGGGTATCAGACAGTTGCAGCACGCCAGTTGGTTACAGAGCGACGTGAGCCTTGAGGCTCCTTCCAGAAGACAGGGTTGCGCCGTACAGTTGAGCCCAGGGCTGAGGTGGTTTTTCCCTGGGTACATGCTGTGTGAGGCCGACACATCACGGACTGGCCGTGGGCCAATGAGAAAGCAGCATTGTCATCACACGTGCACCGCGAGCCAATGAGAATGCT